TTACAAAAATTTTGTGGGACCCCATAAGTATTGCGCAAATCCGACACACGTGTGAGTGAAACTGTCAATTTTTTCACTTCTGTACTATAATATACTATTGCAGTTTTAGGTCATTAACTTTAATTTATAATTTTAAGACACTAGAACAATGTGAAAATTTTAAATTAAGTAACAGACGAAATGACAGCGTCACATGCAAAGCAAGGTAAAATGAACGTTTATATTATAAAAAGAATGCGTTGAAATGTTTTCGTTTTTTACTTTGTCTGTATTGTCTTATCTTTATCTACTTTCAGATACATTGTGTAAAAATGTTTGGTAATTGTAAAATTAATATAATAAGTTAAAGAAATATCAAAACTGCTAAAATTTTTGGCGATGGGGGTGCGATCCAATTAGACTAATATACTGTCCACTATATCAAACAAGTATATTCGAGGAGTGTCTTTAATTCCACATTCCTTCTCTACAAGATTAAGTTATGTAACATAATGAACACTATGCAAGACACTGTAAGATAAATGCATGCTGGAGAGCCAGTGTTTCATGCCCGGGAGAAAGTTATCCTCGGGATGATTTTTAAAGTGAAACGGACCTGCAGACAGAGGAAGAAAACACTGTGGCAGTCTCCTTCTTTGAATGTAACACGGGATCGAAATTTTTAGCATTCAGTTAGTTTATCTGTTCCCACACGGCTTACAATATTATACAAAGGATACATATAAACTTATAATAAGCCTTATAATCTCCCGCCTTCTTAGCATGCCTTCGTAGTGTAGTGGTCTGCACGCCAGGCGCGTATTCCAGAGATCCGTGGTTCGATTCCCGGCGAGGGCGTTGCTTATTTTTCAAGTCTCCTGCTTCCAAAAAATCCTAATGTCTCTACAGTGGCGCCCGAACTAAAAGGGTGGTAGATGATCATTCTCCACGCCCAGGATTTGGCGATTGGGTCTCCTAAAAACCCCAGTCGCCCTTTAAAAGGGGGCGTATATAAGGTATTTCTCCCTACTTCTTAGCCTACCTTCGTAACGGGGTAGTCTGCACGTTAGGCGCGTATTCCAGTGGTCGGTGATTGGATTCCTGGCAAAGGCGTTTCTCATTTTTCATCTCTCTCTCTTTAAAAATCACCTAATGTCTACAGCCTTTAAGTACGTAAAAAGTACATAAAAAGTACATTTCATTAAAGTACATAAAAAGTAATGATTTAATTAAGTACATAAAGTAAGTACATAAGTATCATAAAGTAAGTATTATTAAGTACATAAGTATCATAAAGTAATGATTTCATTAGGTACATAAGTATCATAAAGTAATGATTTCATTAGGTACATAAAAAGTAATGATTAATGCACATTTCTATTCCTTTGCGCTCGATTGGCAGACAGTCATTAATTACAATAAAAGTAGGATATTAATATTTACTACTACAATGCAACTAAAGTATCAAAATACTGATAAAATACACAAAAGCTGTCAAAAATCAAAGGAAGGCTGAAATTTGATTCAAATTATTGTGATACAAAACCAATCTTTAAACGCTGGCTAAACTGTGAGTAAGTGCAGTAGATATGTGCAATAGGAAGGATCTGCTGAGTTACAGATTTGCGCACACATGGGGTCAGCCTTTCTGATTATAAATTAGGCTTCCTTTTCAGTATTTTCGTAGAAGCAAAATGACAATCAAAATTCATGAAAGAATAAAGCAGGCTGTACAGTAATGTGACATAGATAACAAAACTACTCGCCCACAGTTCTTTAATTCTTTAGTCATCAACTTTAACCTGAGGAACTGAAGTCGATGGAAATTCATGATTTTAGAACATACAATGGTTTTCTGAAATTAATTTTACACTTTGAGCTTTTCTCCAGTTTTTTCGTCATTTATTTATTACATTTTTTTTTTTTTTTACATTCACAGAAAAAAAACCATTGAATATTATTATTGTTACTTAATTTAACGCAGAAAATGTATGCGTATAAATTTAAATATTACGCAAACACTGTCCACGCTTAATTTGTAATGGACTTATGGAATGAAATCTTCTCGAAAATAATTTGTTCAAAAGCTGAATGCTTTACAAATTAAAAACGGGAGAAAGCTTAAATGTTAAAACAATAGTCTGGAACAGTGATTCTCAATCAGTGGCACGCGTAGCAAGAGAAAAATAGGTGGCACGAAAAGAGAAAAAGCATTTTTAACTATTAAATTCAAAAAACTCATGAAGAAAAATTGATAGAAATTTCCTGTGATCAAACTCTAACTGAATATTTCAAAAATAACTCACTTGTTAACTTTTGATTGAAATAAAGAATTTAAAGGCGTTTCAAATAAAGCTGTTAAATTTTCATTGCCTCTTTGCACAACATATTTGTGTCAACAAGTATTTTCTTCCATGTTTTATTTGAAAAAAAGAAATACAGAACAAAATTAAAACTGGATCCGGCCCACCAGCGGCCGAGCGGTAACGTCGCTGAACACTGGTAGTTCGGTCCGAGGTTCGAATCCCGCGGACGGGCTGGCTGCATGGGTGTTTTCGTGGTTCTCCCCATGTGTAACGTGTATACGATCCAGTTTCCCTTAAAAAGTCCTCCACGAAGGCATCCCTCCCCTTAAGGCAGATAGCCCTCGAGTGCTTTGCCGTAATCTAGTAAACCAAACCAAAACTAAAATTGGATCCTAATTTACGGTTAAAGTTAAGCGAAGTAAGACCTGATATAAAGAAATTAATCTCTCTTAAACAGACCTAAATTTCACACTAAATTTTAGAATTAAAGTACTATAGCTTAAATTTTGATAATTAAAAAAATAACCAATTTTTATTTTAATATTTTTATGCGCGCATATTTAATACAGCCGATAGGTTGTACAAATGGCAAAACATGTTTTTTTTTTAATATTTCTATTGCGAAACTGAAAATAATCATTGTAAGATGTAGTGGTGGTACTAAAGTTTTTCAATTTTTGTTTGGATGGTACGTGTTAGTCAAAAGGTTTAGAGCCGCTGGATTAGAAGAACGAGATCTAAAAAAGAGAGGACCGGAAGCATTTTTATATAATTAAATCAAATATATTATTTAGATTCGTGTTAAAGGAGGAGGAAAAAATTGGCTTTTGATAATGTGAAAACATATAAAGGAAGGCTATCTGAATTATTTAAAAAGCAGAAAGCGCATATTTTTCTCGTTTTACAGTGAGACCGAAGGTTTTACTCTTTCACGAAGGTTTACTTCTTTTAAAACTTTCTGTTTGACGTAACGCGTAAGTTTTGTATGATAATTACAAGTAAGATCAATTATTATAAACTAATTATTATCGAATAATTTTTAGTCACTTTATTTTTCATTGGAATTTGACATTACAAGCTATAGCTTAGTCTTTTGATATTTACCATCTTTACCTTACGTTACGATAAGCTGCCAGGCCACTTACAATCCATACACCAGTCTATGAGGTATATCATTTTTCTTTTCTAATCAGAGCGGCAAGTTCTCAAATCTGTTAGTAATCCACACTTTGAAAAATCCTTAAAATTATTTTAATACCTTATAATAATCGCGTTAGAAAATAATCATTCTTACTTGAAAGTACGACTGGTTATTGTAAAATGCGAGTAATTATCTAATAATTCTTACGGTAGTTTACATTTCGTTGGATTTTCAGATCAGAAAACATCTGTACATCTATTGCTTAGCCCTTCTAGTTTTTGCCTTTGTTACAATATGTTGTGTTAGGCTGCTAGGGTCATTTGCTTACACTTGCAAATATTGCAAGTACATGAAGAATAAGATCTTTCATTTATCATTGGAGTTGCCTTCCAAACGGCAAGTTCTCAAATGTGCTGTTCTTGCTCCATAAGAACTTTTATTTATCTCTCAAATTAAAACAGTACCTTAACAAATTGAGTAATTTAAAAACAATGTACGTATTTCTTAACCATTTAGATTTAGGTTTCATTTTAACAGAACCTCTAATTAATATAATTCATTCGTGTTATTTGTATTATATCTAGTTAGTAATTTTTATAATCATCTTCAAATGGTATTTCGAACGCTATATACTATGCGCCTCGGCACAAAGAGACCGTTTGCGCTTCGCTTAATCAACTCGTTTTTATCTATTTGTTTATTTTTATACTTTATTTTTCAGCCACTTTTATAACTTAAGATAGAAAGGCAATGTGAAGATGACGCGAATTCCAAAATGAAAGGGGAGAGGCGATTATTATAACTCCTTTAAGAACAGGTTTGAAAGATTTCTTGCAGAGAACAAGCGGGATAAGACTCTTCCGATTTAACAATATCATTCACTACCCTATAAATGAACGAAGCTACTAAACAGAGTTTAAGTTGTTGACCTAGAAAATATATACTCATGATACCGAGCATCGTATATATCTGAATAACTTTCTATTCGATGGAATTCATGTTTCATTAAAACTCATACAGAATCAACTCTCTCTTTATTCCGTTAAATGTAATTTTTCAGTGAGAAACCATATTAAATAATAAGAAGCAAGAATTATAGCAAGAAATATATCAAAGGAATGTGAACAAAGGAAAACTCCCTCCTCGACTGGCGAATCCTTCTCCTCTACACCCTCTTGTAAATTTATTTCATTCTCAGTGTTCAGAATAACAAAGAAAAAATAATTGCTTTTTTGTGAGAAAGAGTTTTCTCCGCGGAAAACTTGCTCATCGAGTTCAAAATTAAATTTTGATGCTGCTAAGAATCAGCTACCAATTGTGGCAGACCTCCCATAGTGAGCTATTTGTTCCCTAACAGCCTACCTAGGTAACGAGCGAATTAAATGCCGCATCCGAAAACACACGCCAGGCTCGTGGCGGCGCCGACATTAATGACTTTCTCTACTTGTTCCCCATCGGAGCTGTGATTGGAAGAAATTGAGACCTAGAGTACGAAGGGCGGTGCTAAAGCAGATGGGGCGAATTCTGACACGTGCCCCGAAATAGATATAAGCGAGCGATTGAGGACTCCTCACCTGAGATGCACTCGGAGCCGCATTGGAGACGTCGGAACTTCGATCGGAGTCACATCAGCTTTGCAGTCACGTGGTTGTTTTGTCACTATACGCTGCGAATTTTGGTAAAAGGACATTTTTTTTACGTGAGATCAGAATCTTCAGCAGGTGAATATCGGGTGCCTGTGCTGCATCTTTTGGTACAGAAACTTGAAGGATAAGAATAAATGTTTGTTCGGGTAAACTTTTATCTTGCAGTTATGCATGATGTTAAATTCTTTTAAATAAGCAACTCTGTTTCTGACAGCCTTTCAAAGATTACGTTTATCCTATGCAAAAGTTAACTTAGAAATATTTATATTTCTTTAGAAAGTGTGAGGTAGTTTCCGTGTTCGTCAGATTTAACGCTTATTCTTAAGGAAAACTCTCATTGTCTATTTTAGTATATTCAGTGCTAAACCTTAAGTGACCTTTTTCACAATCTAATTAAATAAAATTAAGTTTACCAATTTTACCAATAGAAACATTCCAGTGCATGATCTGTGTGATACTTTATATGAAAAACATACTTAGTTTTTACGCTTATAAACTTGCTGTAAATATTTTCATATAAAGGGATATAATTTCTCAATTTTGCGAAAAACCTGTGGAATAATTTCATTGAACTTAATTTGTTAAACAAGTTATTGGTTAAGATAGACTCTTAAACTGGTTATAGAGAAGTGTTGAAATGGTACATTTTGAAAACTTTTTGGATGCAGTGATATAGTTCTTAAGCGAAGATGGTATCACAAGCTGTTTCTATGTCTTTATCTAATGAACTCACAAGTTACACATTTCCTCATCCGTCCATGATGTCATTGCCGTGGGTTTCTCATAATTCAGCTCATACTCAGAGTCCTTTTAAATTATATGCACCTCAAATCAGTCCATATGTAGCACCGAAGATAATGAATGGTATAAGTCATCCATCTTCTGATATGGGCAATAATAGTAGTCTCCAGATTAAGAAAAAAAATGCTCGTAAAGTTAACAAATCTAGTTACAAACATGTACCTCACAAGGATAAGCCTCCACACTTGGTTGCCAGACGGAATGCTAGAGAACGCCGAAGAGTGCAAGCTGTAAACAGTGCTTTCGCTAAACTTAGGAAATGTGTACCTATTGAAAACCGTAATAAACGATTGTCGAAAGTAAAGACTTTGCATCGTGCTATTGAATATATCAACGGTTTGCAGGCAATGTTAAGGCAGGCCGAAGATCCAGATGCCGCACCGTCAAATACAATTTATTTCACTCCTCGTCATCGAAGTGAGAGCATGACATCGCCGGACGATGATGATGACTTCGAGGAAGATGATGACAGAGATGTCAGGGACGAGAGAGACGATTCCGAATTTCAAGAATTCGAAGAATACTTAGAATCGGACGTTGATGTGGTCAACAAGGAGAATGAGGGTCAGAGCTGGACAGCGTTAAGCACGGTAAGAAAATTAATTTGTTTTCTTCATCTGTATCTAATAATTTAGAAAAGAAACTATTTTTAAAATAATTATGATCACTGATAATCTTAATTTTCCAAATGTTTGCTCTGTTAATTTTATATTTTGTAATAATTTATATTTACGCGCAAAACATTTTAAACTTAATCATGTAAAATTTCATTCATGAAATCTGAAAACTAAATGGGTAAAATCCTAGTATACGGTGCAGCCTTGGCGTGACTTTGAAAATTATCGCCAACACTAAAAATGATCCAAAGAACGTCTATATATATACTATACACACATAGTATATGTATATACACACATAGTATAATACATACTATATACATAGTATATATGTTTAACTGTATATTTTCTTTGAATGAGCGGTTAACTACTCATCGTATATGTCCCGCTTTTACTGCTCATCATAAAGTCGCCAAAAGTAGCCAAATCCTGTGTGCACCGGATACTAGGATTAAACCACTAAACGTTTTAATGCATAAAATATGTTTTTCAAACGTACTTTAGTCAAGCTCTAGTTTACTGGGCTGATGTCAATAATTCAGGCACACCTTGGGCAGACGTACTGTCAGCAGCACGATTCTGCTCGAATGCCTTGCAGTGTAAACATTTTACTTTTAGTGGAATACGTGATTTCCTCTCCAATTAAATCTAAAGCAAAAATTATAATATGCGATTGAATTTCAGTCACTGTGACTTACTCGCAGATATGATGCTTGTTCTTTAACTGGGTGAAATATTTTCGTCATTATACTTTCTAAAAAACCTAATGAAAGTGAGAAAGTGTAAAATTTCACTGAAATTTTCTGTTTTTCATAATTCAGTTAAAAATATAGTTAACACTCATTTATACCATTCAGAGCACATATATTAATCCTATTTAGAAGAAATCAAATTAAAATTTAAATTACAATATATATAATGAATTCGTAACAAATTCTATGCTGTGATATAAGTTTTCAGATGGAATAACCCAGTTAAAATTTATGCTGAGAAGTACATTTGAACAAATGTGTAAGAAATATTAATAATATGTGAATAGTTCCTGATATTAAATTTCTCTGTCTATGTTTATTGCCTTATCTTAATTAAGGTTAAATCTAGTGTGCACTATTTAGCATAAACACACCCATTGGTCTAATATTGTGAAGCTGTAATTGTCAAATTCTTTTCCAGTTTAAGAATATAAAATTTCCTGTCTTTCTTCTAGGACTACATTGAAGAAATGTGTGTTAATTCAATGTGTCTTAAAATGCATTATAACAGTATATAATTAATTTACATATAATTATACAAATTTGGATTTCTGATGCTGCTATTTAGTAGTAGTTTATAGTAATTTAAGCTGCTTTAACGATTAAATAGGGCTATCAAAGACTTAATCTTTTTGCCTGATATTTGTAAAAGTCTTCTCTAAATAAAAATACATGTGAAATATGTAACTGCGCACAGTTTATTAAAATAATTTAATGCTGAAAATCCTTGTATATGAACTATAAATACTAGCAAATAAATATCAACCTCTTAAACGTTCAGACAACGTACATAGTGATAAATTTATAGGAATTCGGTAATTTACTAAATGAAAAACAGGTCATGTATGTCATAATTAAATCCTTAACGTTCTACATATTATATACTATAGTTTATATCTTACATATTTTATACTTAAAAAGATTAAATTAGTTTTAAATTGTATATAGTTCTAAAGAGATTCAGTCCGTACAGTCTCCAGTATCTTTAATTAATATAAATGGTTAAACCAGATGCTAACATCGGAATTTATTTTGTTTGTCAGTGTTGTCTAGATTATTAGCTACAGAAAAATTCTGAATATTATATTTACCTAAAAATATTTTATTTTTAAAAGCTTAAGCAAAGGATTATGAATCATCCGTCTGTATCTACTTTCATAGATCTGTGAATAGGCTTTCTTATGATTTAGTGAAAGGCTAGAAATTTTTCTTATTCAAGAAACTGAATTTAAAATTTCCATAATTTAACCATGCGTTATTTTCTGCTTTTAATCATGCATTTCATATTTGGTTACGTAGATCTTTTGCACTTAAAATCGACTGCGTAAAAGCCTTCTTCTTCCCTGAACGCAGAGTTGAGAAAATTAAAAATATTCTATTTTAAGATTATAGTGATAAATCTCAGAAATTAGAAAAAGCATCACAAACTTAAATCATGAGGATTATGTGGTATAACTATAAGATAGGCCACAATGAATAAATATTACTGGCGCTGTGCCATTTCCTCTCTTACGCACGCAATGCCATTACGTACAAAGACAGCTACGACGGAAGAAATGTATATGAATAAAAAGGTGACAATTCAAAAGTGATTTTATAATGTCAAAGTTTCTTGGCGAAGTGTTAGACTATTTTTTTTAATTCGAATATTTTAAGCACAGTTACATATATATACGCTGAAAAGATTATTATAAAGAAATATTCAGTAAGTAAATTAATTTCATCAAGTTTGAAAATGGCCCAGCTATCCTTAATATGCAATGTTTCAGTCCGAAAATACCGATATGTTAAATGAAGATCCTTCACAATCTTACGTCTTCTTATTTCACAGAAGTTTTGGATTTGCGAATGTATAAACAGCTAGCAATGAATAGAAGTAAGTTCTGAAAATCGTCATCTAAGATTAGCTGTTTGAATATTGATGTTTTTGTTACATTAATGGTAATCTTTTTGATTAATAATTAGGTATGAAAAGTTTCTTTTCCAACACCTTGAAAATATTTCACAGAGTTTTGAGTCTTTAAATGTTTCCGTTAAAAATACATATTAACCAAAGATACACAAAATAATTAGTATTTTGAATTACAAAATGGCGCAAAAAGTGTTTAGTTTGCTTTCCGAAACTGACAGAATCTTTCATTATCATTTTCTAAACATATCATTTGCCGTTCTTTTTGCCATTTTCCCCTCGCTATTGCATAAACTTTTTCATTATGTCTCAACCCATTCGACCGAATGACAGGTGGTTTTTGTTATTTATTTTATACGCAGTTAGACGTTTTTAACAGCTCAGCGATATTTTCTTAGTTCCAGCAACTCAGCAGTTTATGTAATTGTTTGCTTTATTCACACTCCCTTTTTCTCGCATGTCATTTATTATGTTATTAAAATAACTGTTAAGGTACTTGATGTTATTATGGCTGAAAGTCTTATCTGTAGAAATTAATTACGTAGATGCCAGTGTAAAAATAAGAGAGACAAACTAAAAGAAGCGTTCTTGAAAATATCTTTGCCTACATCTCTTAGGGTGAAAGATCTCGTAACAGACCTTTGTTCCCTCTCTCTCCTCTTCTCTCTTTTCTCTCTTCTTTACAACGTACAAGATTGAGTAATTTCTGCGAGAAAGGTAAAATTCTTCGAAGTGAAATCTTTCCGATTATGAAATCCGAAAAAGAAAAAAAGAAGTCAACAAATTTAGAATTATTGCTTTTATTACTTCCTTTTTTTTAGGTTATTTATAAACCTATTAATAAAGAGTTTTAAAAATGCAAGTGATGCAGTTTGATAAATAGTGGTGATTAACGCTGTATTAACATCAAGTAAAAGTGCTGAGACGCGTTTCGATAGAAAAATGGGTGATCCGTTTTTCAGCAGCGAGAATTTCTAAAAGCAGTAATAAGCAGGCAAGTCAAATTTACCATTCAGTTTGAAAGCTTTCTCCTTCATCGAAGTTTATCTGACTGCCGGTGAAGTCATGCCATGATGTTAAGAGAAATAAATGACCATCGCAATGTTTGCAAAAAATTTCTCTATATATATATATCAAAAACTGTATCACTTGAATCAAACTTGGAGTGACTGCGTGAAGCACTTTTAACTTCTCATACCTTAAAGTAACTCTACAATGAATCTAGGCGAGATAAATTCTGAATTGTATTTCTCGATACATTTTCAATAATAACCGTTCTAATAATATTTAAATGTTTCGGCGGAGATTTAAATGTTCAGTTAAAGAAGGCGGGAGAAATACCTTGTAAAAGAACCGTAAAGTTCGTGGCAAAATATTTAATCGTTCATGATAAAAAAAAAATATTTCACTTCTGTTTAAGAAGTTAGCATAGAAAAAATATTCAACAAATTTTTATTGACGTTGTAGTCAATAACGTAATTTATTTTTCCGCGCAGAGTACTTCGTATAGATTTTATGCATGAATTAAATACACGTTTAGTTGCTTCACGAAGTAACTTTCATATCAGCATTTATTTATTATTCTTGCTCATGCATATCATTTTTTACTTAAGCAATTCAGAGTCTTTTCGAACCCTGTGATTACTTCCGTATTGGTGTTCCTAATATTGCAGCAGCAGGAACACTTCTGAGAGCAAGTGTTTTCTTCAAAGCTATCATATTTAAATTCCTTTTTTTATTTCTAAAATTTGTTAGTTTTGTAAAAAAAATCCTTAATTTCACGCATGCCTTCGTGGTGTAAGCACATCCGATGAGCAGTCGGAGGACCCGGAATTTGAATATCGTAGAAGGCAGATTTTTTTCTATTTCCTGCTGCGTTTAGTGTAATTACATTACAAGTGCCGACCGAACTGAAATGAGACGAACGATAATTTGTCGCCACCTGGATTTGGTCACAGCGTGCCTTCCTCCCCAACCACCCTTTAAGTGGAGGAGAATGTAAAGAATTTTCTTCTTCCTTACCGCATGCCTTATAAGTTATTTCTCCCGCCTTCTTAGCATGCCTTTGTGGTGTAATGGTCAGCACGCTCGGCGCGTAATCGAGAGGTCCGTGGCTCGAATCCCGGCGAGGGCATTGCTCGTTTTTCATATCTCCTGCTTCGAAATAGCTAATGTCTCTACAGTCTCTCGAGGCGAAATTGGAAGCTTATCCGCTTAGCAACAGGGATTTCTCATTTTAAAGTAAACGTACCAGTGCCAGTGAAATTAGGATTGCCACAACTTTTTTCCCATAACTTAACGAAAAATTCCAA